AGGTCATCTCCTGTGCACAGGCACAATGTAAGCCTTGGACCTGAAATACATTTGTTCTGGGTGCTAGATCTGAGAAATCACAAGTGTCCTACAGGGTTCTATGCTGGGGTTAAGATATCTAGATGGTTAAGGGAAGCTTAACTGATATCATCTGCCTGGACTTGTGCAAAGCATTTGACACTGTCCTGCACAACATCCTTGTCTCCAAATTTGAAAGATGTGGATTTGATAAATGGACCACTTGGTGAATAAGGAATTGGCTGGACAGTCACTCTCAAAAAGCTGCAGTCAATGGCTCAATGCCTGAGTGGAGATGACCAGCTCAAGTGGGTCCAGGGGAGGGCCACAAAGATTATCAGGGAGCTAAAGCACATCCACTATGAGGGCAGGCTGAGAGTCTGGAGGAGAGCAGACTCCAGGGGGACCTTATAGCAGCCTTCCAGTACTTGAAGAAGGCCTACAGGAAAGATGGGAGAGGACTCTTTTATCAGGGTATGTAGTGATAGGACATGGGGTAATGGTTTCAAACTGAAAGAGAATAGATTTAGATATTAGGAAGAAATTCTTTACTGTGAGAGTGGTGAAACACTGAAACAGGTTTCTCCAGATAAGTTGTGGATGCCCCACCCGTGGCAGCATCCAAGACCAGGCTGAATGGAGCTTTAAGCAACCTGAGCTAGTGGGAGTTGTCCCTGCTCATAGCAGGGGGTTTGGAAATACATGGTCCTTAAAGTCCCTTCCAGCCAAAACCATTCCATGATTCTATGATTCTTCTCACCTTCATGGAGAGCAGACGAGTCAGATAGATCTCTGGGATTGCCTTGGCTCGCTCCCGATCCCTTAAGCTCCCACGTCGATGCTTGGGAAGTTCTGGCTCTTCTGTTGGTTTTACCAGGTGCCAAAGTTTGATCCCACCTTCATCTGCATCTTCCAGCATTGGTGTTTCTAAAACAAGCAATTGTTTAGTGTCAGTTCTCTCACAGTAGAGCTTGTCCAGGTGAGCCCCAAGGAAGCAAGATTTCACAGTATGATAGAAACACAAATGGAAAGGAATCTCTGGAGGCCTCTATCCAGCCTTCTGCACAGAGACAGCAGTTGCTAGCACTACAGCAGGTTGCCTTTGTCCATCCAAAACCTTCAAGTTTTTGGAAACTTCGCCAGACAGAGCTCTCCCACCACCTCAGTGGTCTGTTCCAGTGCTACACCACACTTTTGCTGAAAACATTTTTTTCCCCCACATCTAATTTGAACCTGTTATACTGCAGCCTGTGGCTATTGTCCCTACCCCCATAGGAGTACCCATGGACCTGTTCTCTCTGCCAAGCAGTAAAGTAACTGCCTGGTGTCCCAACACCACCCTCAGGCCATGCTCAGCACCCAAGGGTATTAAGATTCCTGTAAGCTGCAGACTGTGCTCAGCCCTGGAACGTCAGAACTAGAGACCTGTGCTTATCCTGCCCATCCTGGCTTTTCTCTGCTCTTACACTCCTTTGCTTTTCTCTCATCTCTCCTGTCCAAGCCTTAAGTTCTCTGACAGTCCTACAAGTGTCCAAATTATGTATCAGCCTTCTATAGCAGCAGAAAGCTGGGGCTGTAGCAAGAGACTTGTCCCACTAACTGGCTAGGGCTGTAAAATCAATTTATGAGAAAAGGACATCAAACTCACTCTCTCCTGGGATATAATCCTGATTCTCCCTGTGGATGTGCTTGGTCAGGCGTGGGACCAGTGCTACTGTTGCTCCATCGGGCACCTGCACACAAACAAAAATCCACATAAAAAAAAGGGGCATGTTTTTCAACACCACAACAGGCAAGTGTTTGTAAACCAAACCAGACTATGCCACTACTAGAAACAGGGACAGAAACAGGGATTTTGGGGCACCATCACTGGAGACTCTTGCCTGTACCAATTAAAAAACCCATGTGCAAAGTATGATGAAGATGGTTATACTGAGGGACTGAGGTAATTCACATCTAGAACACGTTTCAGCAAGATAGGACACATTGGTGCAAGATAGTTAAAAACCCCCTCTTTACATTCCTAGAAGCTGCTTCACAGATCAGCACACCATCACCTACTGACTGGTTTGGACTGGAACATTAACAGATCCAGCAGCATTGCCTGCATTGCAACAGCCCTAGGCATGAACTTGTGTGTCTCCTTCCAAACTCTACACCTGCCCACATCTCAGGTACAGGTTAAGGAGAGGGCTATGCTTGCTGAAGTCAGAGTGCACTCCACGGCACTGACTTAATTTGAATATGCTGCTGCAAAAAGGCTCCAGTCTTTTGACAATGATCCACCAGGAGCCAGATCCACAAATAGAGCATAGCAGTGTGTAGATGTGAGGACAGACAAGGCAATAGCAGACTGAGTTCTGACCTTGTAATGCTGAAGAGTGTTCAAGCGTTTCCAAGTTCCTTGAACAACAGATGTCACATCCTCATCAGACAGTATCAGATGACCTGCCAGCCCTGATCTCCACTCTACAGAAAATGAAAAGGTAAACTATGAATTTGAGGCATTTCTGAAGTCCTGGGCTTTCAGCCTGTTTGACCCTGTTACACACCCACTGATCCTCATCAACCTTTACCCATGCTGTTTCACAGACAGCATAACCTGAGCCAGTGCCTGTACCAATGCCGAGTCCTGCAGCCACAGGACAGCCTCTCTGAGCACAAGCACAGGTGGCCTCATGGCCTCCCAGGTTCCACTCGCCAAGTTTCTACTAACAGTCAGATTGTGACTCTTCAAGCAGGTGATTCAAACCACATATATGCACCCACAGTCCTTATTACCTACTATTGCCCCAGTACCTGTCCATCTATAAATATCACCACTATTCTGCAACAGCCAAAGAATGAAGAAGATAGAGAACTTGGTGGTTTCTCTCACAGTGTAGGTCCTATCTTTCATTAACCACTGTGGGCAAAATCCTTCCTGACGTATATTACTGAGATGTTGCCATTGATTTCACTGGCAGGAAGTCACAGTCTATGACTATAGTTAGTTATCTCTGCACCACACAAATAAGTCCTCCCCTCCTACACATTCTCCATGTTGTTTTATTTTTCCTGTGTTACCTTGCCCAAGCCATTGCCATGGTCCAACACCGGCAAAGAACATCACAAAATGGACAAGCTGGACCTGACTGCTTCTTTCCCACCTTTGCCACTTGCTGTTAGCCTCTTCCCAGCATCATGCCCTGTTGAGTCCAGCCAGACTACAAGATCTTTGGTCAGTGACTCTGCATGCTCAGCTGAGAACGACATCAGGCATGCCAGGGTGCTGTGCACAGATAGCAAATGACCACTCTTTCATCTTCTCACTACATTTTGGCACCAAGAAATTCTGCTTACCAAGGTCCAGGGTGTCTGGGTCTGGTCGGTGACAGTATGGTGTCCCTTTATAGATCTGATCTAGGATTTTCTCCTTCACCTGTGTTATGGTGTCACAGTCTAGCACCTTTGCAGAAATCCCTTGGGAGTCCTCTGCCCCTCCCGCAGCTACTCCTGCTTGTGTCAATGCATTTAAGGTCTGGAGAAGAAAAGGTCACAGCTACTCAGTTGATAAGATTACATCTGACACATTTACACCCCAGATGGTTGGCATTAAGGCCAGTTAACAGTCCCTTCACTGTAAGAGTTTCAGAGAAGAAAACACCACAGATGTTAAACACCCTGTGTTCTCAGTCTTGTGTCAAGAGCTGGAAGCCAGTTCAACAGCTGTGGAGGGGCTTGGATGTGCCATCAGCAATTTCCATCCTCTCATTTCTGGACACAGAGCACAGCACATACACCAGGTTACTGTGGTAATGGCTGCTCTCAGCCTAGGGCAAAACTGCCTGACTTTGCAGAGCTCTTGCTCATCTGTGCAGTTGTGCTGCTGGGATAAAACTGGCTCTCAGAAGACAGTGTCAGGATGCTGCTCTTCTGCCACAATAACAGGAGCAGAGACATTCAACCCTGTGGAACCAGCATGCCCAGAGGGAACAAAAAGATTTGGTGCCTACCAGAGTCCGGTACTCCAGGTCCTCTCTCAAGAGGCGGTTGTCATTCAGGGTGTATTTGGCTTTTCCTGTCACCCAGTCAACGGGCCCTTTGTCCACCTGGTGCTTGATTCCACGAAACAACATGTAAAGGGGCTCCCCAACAGAGTCCTGGCACAGAAGGGAAGGAGTTTCCCCTGAGTGAAATTGAGTTTGCTCCTCCCAGCAGAGCTGAACGGCTTGGAAACGTGGACACCCAGGCAGAGGAGGGGCAGGACTGGGGATACGGCAGCGAGGGCAGGACTGGGGATACAGCAGCGAGGGCAGGACTGGGGATACAGCAGCTAGGGCAGGACTGGGGATACAGCAGCTAGGGCAGGACTGGGGATACGGCAGCGAGGGCAGGACTGGGGATACAGCAGCTAAGCCACAGCAGGCTTAGAGGGAGCCTCTGCCCTCAGCTCCTGCCCCACGCGCAGGGAAGGGGCACGGGCCAGCTTCCAGGTGGATGCACGAGAGCAAGGCACTGCTCTGCCTCCTCACCACCCATCTGAGAGGCTCTCCTAGCCAGCCCCTCTCCAGCAAAAGAATTAGGTCAGAATCTGTCCTCCCTGTGCACAGACCCGCCTGCAGCCAGCACATCTCAAGATAAAGGAGCTACACTAAGCTCTCCATAATCTGGCAAGACATCCTGAAGGTAATAAGTGGTATTAATGCTGATTTAAGCATCCCTGTCCCCAGTGAACAGCCCAGCTTGCCATTCCCCATGCTGAAATACAGGATGACTCTGGCACTCTTTCAGCTACAAGCGAGGCACAAAGCAAAGCTGTGGCTGTCTCCCTTCTTTTGGCCCCTCTACACCACAAAGGGACAAAGAACTCACCCTCACAAATGCATACAGGCAGATGGACATCCAGTTGGTTAACAGCTTCTCTACCACTGTTTCTGTCCTGAAAGAAAGCATGACGTTGGTCACAGAAATGTGGTACAGAGCAGGGGGGTTCTGGAGAAAAAGATCACTCCCCTAGAGAAAAATTCACATTAAGTGATGATAGGGGATCAAGGGAGAGAGAGGAAAAAAAAGGACTTTAGTGGTCAGTAAGGTTAATGCTTTAGATACCAGTTATTCAAGGCACTTTTCAGCCTGAAGGAGGCACCAAATTACACAAGTGGAGAGTCAAGCAGATGGGACAGAGGAAAGCTTCTGGTAGATCTCAAACAAGGGAAATTTGTTCAGATCAGAAGGATGGGCCAGACAGGAAGCTAAGAGGGATCTAAAGACTGTCAATATTTCAGTTTAGCTTCCAAGCATGGCATGACTGTGAGCCCAGGGACCTCGAAATATCAGAGAGATTAGCAGACCTGGCAAAGCCCTAGTACCTGAACACAAGGAGAGAGTTACTGTACAGCAGCTTCGAAAGAGGAATTTGGGGTGGACAACTGCAGCTTCCTACTCTTTTCACACCTTTCCTGCTATATTCCCTGACAGTTGCTGTCTGGAGAGAGAGGTATCATTGTTACTGCTTCCTCCCATTTGATGCACATTGTCTGGACACACTCAGGTCTTACGGCTGCAGCCCGTGTCACGATGTGGTGGTACTCACAGGAGTTTCAGAGCTTGCCAGCTGGGCAGAAAGGCTCTGCTCTGTCCCCTCAGACACCTGACAGTGTGACCACGGCTGGCTCACTCACCTCCGCAGCATCAGCTTGGGGTTCTTGGCCACATACTGCTCCACGAGGTCATTCAGGAGCGTTTTGAGAATGTCAGTGAAGTACTCCAGCTTCCCGTGCAGCGACACAGTGAGCAACGACGCCACGTAGGCCCGGTCTCTGGGGGAGAACGTGCGCTGGATTTCCAGAGTGTGGATGAACTGATGGAGAGAGAGAGGAGACAGTGTGTGAAAACAAGGCAGTCTGGCTCTTGGAAGAAGTGGTGCTGCAAAGAGCTATTCAGGAACGAACTTTAACAGATGCTGCTTGCTTCCTGCTACCAGTGATGTGGCCCTTGGCCCCACAGCAAGCTGCAGGCAGACAGAGGGGCATTACCTTGGTGAGGAAGAGCTTGCTGTTGAGCAGGTTGGAGAGCTGGACCAAGCCCTGCTCCACAGTTTGCCGCCGGCACTCAGGGATGTCCAGGTCCCTTTGCAGCGGTGACTCACGGTGGCCCGGGAAGAAAATGCGTTCTGCATAGGACTTGTAGTCTAAGAAGGGGATTCCTGTGCCCACAAGGTCACTTGTGAGGTCCATCATCTCAGTCATCAGGTCTGAGAGAAAGGAAATGCCCATGAGGTTGACTAAACGATCACAGAACTGACGGTGCAGAGGATAAGGTGAGTGCAGGAACTAGGGCCAGCAGGATGGGTATGAGGAAGAGGAAGGATGTTTCCTGTCAGGAAAAGGCACATTGGGGTCCCATTGCTATGACATTTAAAACTTGATGAGGCACTGGGAGAAACTACATGAGGAAACTTCCAGCCTTGGGGAGGAACTAAAAGGTGAATTTGGTGATTATTCTCATTTACAGTTAGGGGCTGGCTTCCGGCTTTATACAGAAGTTGTTACTGGTCAGCATAGCTCTGTGGTCATGGGCATTATCTACAGTAGAGCATTAGCAATGTCCTGTTCCTCACTGTTTCCTCCATCAGCTGGAGACTACAGTTTGAGTCACTTGCACTGTTTCAGAGCCCCAGACTCTCACACAGGGGCTCGCTGCTGTAAGCAGCTGAAGGACAAGGTTTGTGGGCCCAGAACATAGCATATAACTCAACCTGCCCTACACCAAGGCTGCACTAGCTTTCTCTCCAGGTGTGCTGTCTTGACCCACAGCTGTTCCTCTGGGTCTGGAGGTTGAACTGGAGAATCAGAGTGGTCTGTATAGATCATTGTCCTCTGAATTAAAAAGAAAAATTAAAATTGGAAAAATTTGGCTGTATGTTTCAATGCTTAGCCCGGGATAGTTATTGCCTGCTCTGAGATACCCAAACAAGTACACAGGAATGGAAAGGGAGGTAGGGCTAAGAGTGGTTCTTCAAGCTTCTCTGAAGCTGCAAGAAACTAGCAGCTCAGTGACTAACCTGTGAATTCCTTCTTACATCTATCCCGAACACTTGTTTCCAGATTTTCCAGCTGGATTTGAACTTTCTTGTAATCCCTCAAAGCCTGTTTGCTCTTCCTCCTGCAATAAGAAGCAGAATTGTTCCTGGTAGCCCTAGCCCAAGGATTGTCCCTGCCAGCTGTTGTGTTGCTGCCAAAGACTCCATGGCAACTGGCGTTGAGCTGACTTCTACATAACATCATCTTTCCAGGACACCAAACAGCATTCTGGAAACTAGATGTATCTTTTGGAGCACCCATCAGGTGTGAGCTCCGAAAGAAACACTGTGCAAGCTGTGACCAGGAGGTGTAAGATGCCTCACACACCAAACAACACCAGGGGCTCAGAATTTAGAACAAAATAAAACCTGGGACCTTGTTTAGGCCTGAGATGTACACGCTTGGCCACATCCACCGAATAACGTTGTAGAGGAACTTAAAGACCTCACACAACGCCCGAGTTTCTTACCTGTATATGAAGACAATGACCAGAACAATCAGTGCCACGAAGGATGCACCAACACCCAGGCCGACCTGTGCCTCCAGCGGGAAGGTGAGCTGGCTTTCTGTGTCGTACTGCACTCGGCCCAGGAGGAAGTTCAGGTTCCCCATCTGTACCTGTAAGAAAGCACGTGCCACAGCGTAAGCTCAATGCAGCACTGAAGTACAAAGCCGCAGGGCTTCTCCAGAATGGGCACAGGTGGCATACAGCTCTCTAGCAAAGGTGTCCCACAGCACAGCTCCTGAATCCAGCCACACCATTTGCTTTCAGGCAGCATCTGGCATGTAAGAGTGAAAAAAAGAGCAGCTCCTTGTCACCCTGGTACCTCTCCCGTCCCCCACCAGGGCTTCTGCTTTTCTTCCACTTCCTAGTGCACTCCCTGCCTCCACCACTACTTCTTGCTTGTGCTTCAACAAAGGACAGGATTTCTTGTGGTACTGCTGATGCCTTACCGTGAATTCTGGGAGCAGGTCTGTGCCCTCTCGCTTTGTGCGGTGCCGTGGAGCTGGCTGCTCAGAGGGAGGCTCACAGTAGAGATGATTCCTTGTTAGAGTCTTCACCACACAGACTCCTTCCCCGATCATAGCCATAACTTCATCCTTGGAAATAGCCAGATCTAGATTTTCCCCCTGGAACAGATGTGGAACAGCACTTCGGATCAGGTCAAAATCAACTCTGCATTCCCATGGCTCCAGAGAGGATGAAGGAGACCAATGCCATAGGATGAAAGCAGCCTTTTTTCTTCTCTGACTGGGCTCATGTCTGAATTGGGTGCAGAAGTTCATTTTGTAAGCTAAAAAAGTCACTTGTGTATGATTTAGTTTATAGCTTCGGGACTCATACTATGCTGCATAAGTATTTATAAATAGCCTGTCTTCTTAAGGCTCTTCAGCCACAGCACAACTAGGTTCAACTCTTCCCTCTGTGTGCATATGCATATACATACACACAATGCACATCTATTTCAACAGGTAGTTGCCTGTCAGATAAGAACAATAGCATAAATGTGTTACACCTTTGAAAAGTATTGGTTGGCTCACCTGAGTGCTTTTCCTCACATGTACAGAAAAAGAAACCCCAAACATTAGCCACTCCACCATATCAACTTTAAAGAGGGATTTTCCTACCTCCACCTAGTAACAGGTCTCTCCTTCTTCCAGGATTCTTACTCTATGTTACTTCTAAAAGAATCTTAAAAAGTTATGAAAAAGTAGGCAGCTGAGAATAGGATGTGGTTTTAAATTCTAGCTTATTAGAGTTCAAAATAAAAAAGCACGGGAGTTTCCACAAGCCCTTAACAATGATTTATGGGCTCAAGAGGGGTTTTTGTTTTATGCACTCTCTTCCTCCTCATGTACCATTTTTCATAGGCCAAATTAAATATGCTGTGACAGGTTGTAAGCCTGTTAAATGCTTTAAAACCCTGGATGCTGAGTGACACCCATTTAAAACGCTCGGGTTAGAAGTAACTTTGCTACAAGGAACATTTCCAGGTCATTTGTGTGTTACCTCCACAGAGATGACGCTTCCTGGCTTGTGACGATACGGTTTGGCAGGGTCTTCAGCATTCAGTGGTTTTAGGGTGGGGTTGACTTCATAAGAGAAGGGCATGGGATGCAATGAGTTGAAATCAAAGCTCAGATTATCCAGAATGAATTCCAGTTTAATATGAACACTCCTCAACAGCAGATTAATGGCTGGAGTTTTGCACAGGATCAGGTAGGAGGAGTTAACAAGACATGGTTCTTCAAACTAAATGTGAAAAGCAAAAACAGTGTCAGTAGTGAAACACTAATGCTTCTCCTGCAGCTTTGCAATACTTCCCTACCCTGAGCAGTCTGGGGCCAGTCTGCATTCCTCTCATCTGGAGCAACGCCAGAGGAACTCTGCTTTATTGTTATGGGAAAAATCCACCATCTGAGGAATTCCCCACATCCCTCTACATAAAGTTTTCATAGCACTGGCTTTGTTGCAAGTACCTAGGTCTCAGCAGTAGGAATCAGCTCTGACATTTCCCTTGCAGCAAATTCTGGAGAGGCATCAGCTTTAGATCTCCCTGCTCTGACTGAAAAGGACCAAAGACCTTCAACGCAAGGCTGATTTCCTAGCCTGAATGCTTTGGTGGAATAAGCTTTCCTTCATCTGATTGCATATGTTTTATCCATTCAGTGAAAGCGTTAAAGTAATTTTTTTTTTTCTTCCTCCCCTACAGCCACAAACACCTTCCTAAGAACATAGGTAAAACCAGCTGTTACTGATGCACGTGCATCAGGAGGATATTCTCCCAGTTTATGGACAGGAAAGCCCTCCATCATTTGCACTGCAAATCCTTCTTGTACTTGGGCTGCCAAACACTCTCTACCTCTGCAAATTCCACTGCAGCTCTGTGACCTGGATGATCATATCAATATCTCTGTAGCGACCCATCCCAGGACACTGGCAGCAGGAGAGCAGAAAATGTTGGAGGAAGTGGTAATTTCACTGAACTCTGCCTGTTTTGTATCTCGGTGTGAGAGAGAGCCCAGGGGCTATAGACATGAACTACGCAAAAGGAAAAGTCATGAGCAAGGACATGCTTAGCCACACAAGCTGTCTGGCTCAGCTGCAGACTTCTTTATCTCCACACTGCTGCCCTGCGGTTTCTGTCCCACATCACAAGTCCTGGACATCTCTAAGCAGAGGCAGACCCAACCCATGGGAATGTTTGTGAAAGTGTTTAACCTCTCAGTCTGGCAGAGAACAGTCCCACTTGGCCAACACTGTTGGTACGATCCAGATAAGAGCAAGCTGGGGTGAAAGAAATCCACCTCTCCAGAGCAACACATCAACCCTTATGAATCCTCAGCTCCACTGGGCACTTTGCCATGCTACCTGCTGGACGCTGCACAGAGCATCCTCAGGGCACTCGGTGTCCGGGATGATTCGTCGCCGCCGTCCCAGCCCTCGGCGCCGCCGTTCAGAGGGAGAAACTGTCACTCGGATCTTTGGTTTCTGTACGACATCCAAGTTGTATCCATGAACTCTGAGCACTCTCCCTCCACTGAAAAAGGAAAGCAGCTGATCTCACTCACATATTATTCATTAGCTCTGTCTTGCCCACGCTCCCATCCTTCTGCTTATGCTCATTCCTACAAGCCCGGCTTTACTCCGAAGTAACTCGACAAACAGATGCCAACTCAACTCATCAAACAGATGCCAATGGTGCTGTAGTACCTGCCTCAGCACACAGCCCTGAGGAAGGTGCATTCAAGTCTTTCTACCTGAGGAAGCTTTTAGGTGGCTCTGCAAAAGTGATGTTGGGATCCAAAGTATATCTGAAGAGCGATCCTTCCAGTCTCCGCTCTTGGTCTCCATATTTGATAGTGACTGGGAGTTCTGCAGACACATTGCTGGGGCTTGTCTGGCATGCCAGCTGATCCTCTGTCATCTCAGAGAGACTTGGAGGGACAGAAGAGAGAACAAGGGATTAACACAGCCGCCACAGAGACAGATTTTATAGTGCTATGACTTGCTCTTTGAAGACAGTCTGCAAACCTCGTCTGCTATCTTCCTAAATTTAATGCTGAAAGGCCTTGTGCCTAATCTAAGCAAGCAATAATTGCTGGGCAGTCGTCAGTGAGCAGCACATGGACAAAAAGCAGATACAGCCACTGTCCAGACTGAAGAGACTGGCTGCATGCGACCAGGACACGTGCCCCTTCTCACCAGCAGTGCTGTCAGGTGTACGTGTCCCAGGATGCAAGAGAACAAGCAGCTCTTTGTTAGTCTGCAGAAGCCAACTGCAGTTCCCCATCAGCAAAAGCAGAGCTCTCAGGACAGGGTATAGTCCTGTCAAGAGACATGCAGAACAGAGGCCATGTAGCACTGTTCATGTCCAAGGGAACATGGGCAGGGATGTAAGGTGGTGGGGGTTGCTGCCATGACCCTCAAGGGGAGATGTCCTGGAACACAGAGAGCAGAGCTCCAGCAGCCTGTGCTAAGGGCTGAGCCAGGCAGCATCACACCCTGCAGCGCTCTGGGGAGGACTCGGGGCAGTGCACAGAGAGCACACGGACAGGCTCTGGTCTTACATGTGGCAAGGGAGGTCTCCAAGTAGGACACTGATCTCACTAGGATGCCCAGTCAGCAGCTTTGAGCCCAGAAGGGTAAGGCAGGTTCCCCCTGCTTTGGGGCCCTGAGTTGGAACAATGGATTTCAGCTCTGGGTTCTAGAAGAGGGAAGAAAAAAAACAAAATAAAAAGAAAAAAGGAGGTGAGTGACAAGGACCTCAAAAGATAAGGCAAGGAAAGGAAACAGCAGAACATGTTATGGTTGGACTCAATCTTGAAGGTCTTTTCCAATCTAAATGGTTCTATGTTCAGTGACCTCCAGTGCTCTGAAAATAAAAGCTATAGATCCAAATCACAGGCCAGCCTCCCCTAGGCTCCAGCAGCTACCTTACAGAGCAGAGGGAAAAATTACACCAGTAAAACCCACTAATCAGGGACCTGTCTTTCCATGGACTGCAAAAGGCAGATGGATGCTGCAAACAGCAGAGCTGAGCCTCACACACAAACCCTAGGATTAACAGTTCAAAGGGATTGTTCAGATTGGTAACTGGATTAATAACTCAGGTTAGCAAAAAACAAAGTAGCAAATAAATTGTCTGTTTGTCTAGTGAGGAGATTACCAGCAGGGAGCCCTAAGAATGTGTGTTGAGATCTGTACTGTTAAACTTACTTGAAGTTGACTTGGAAAGGGAAAATGAAATTTGATAAATCATTCAGAGTAACTTAGTAACATTGAGGAGCTGCAGCAAAACTTAGAGGAAGCAGAGTGGCACAAGTTAAGACACTGCTGATAAAGGAAGAGAGCATGAAGTGAGCAGGAGCAGGGAGAATACAGAAAAAAAGCAACCCAACCTTATGTACACAGTTGTGAGTTTCAAACTAGCTCCTGCCCGTTCAAGAGTGCTTTGCTGTGAGAACTCTACCTGCTGTAAGCACGGGCCTCAATAAAACCACACCAAGTGGGAGGAATTACTGGGAAGGGAATTAAGGAAAAAGATTTTTATGCCACAGTAAAAGTTCCTTTTGCACTTGTATCTTGAACATGGCATGCAGTTCTAATCACCCCGCCTCAAAATGGTGATAACAGAACCAAAATCAACAGCAGAGCAGCAATCACAACCCAGTATATAAAATGTTTCTATACAGCCAAAACCAGAATAGCCTATGACTTTTCAGGCATCTCTTTCCCCTTCCCATGGGAGAGGGAGACATGCAACTAGGTACATAAGCTGTAAGTTGCACAGCAAGGATGAAAAGAAAGAAATTGTATCTAACAATTACTTAAATCTTATTTCATAGTTGCCAGGTTTAAGGTATCAAAAAGTTATCAGGAATGTGTTTAGAGATAATAGGAAACATTTCTCCATACAACATACAGTAACTTTGGACTTACTGCCACTAGCTGCTGAAGTTAAGAAGCTGAAAGTATGTTCAAGCAGCAGTTTGCAAATTAATAAAAGGAAAGTCAGAAGTCTTAGTAAGATGTTAAGTCATACCAAAAAAACCCCTCCAAATCAGAAAGGTACCCTGTATTTTTCTTGTTCAAGCATTTAATAGTTACCAAAACACAACACAAACACCAGACAAAAAAAATCTGATAAAAATACCAGCAGCGAGTGCCTGGTAGCATCCCCTAAGTTCATGCAATGGACAGCTCTTTAGCAGAGATACTGGATGAACAAGGAGATGTATTAAAGAAGCAACAGTTACATTACCTGGTAGGTGAAAATATGGCCAGAAACTCCACGTCCTCCACCAGGCACTTCCACCACAATGTGCCCAAATCTCTCTGTCCAGCTCCCACCAGTGACGCACACGATACTACAGGGCAATCCAAGAACAGTGTCACACCATGGAAGGGCAGAGGTGCTGCATCCATCACATCAAGTCCTAAAACCATCTAGCAACCACAGCTCCCTTCTTGCAGCCTTATCACATACCCAGAATATACAACTGAACATTGAGGAGCACCTCTAAAAATTCAATTAGCAGAAAGAAAGGGGGAAGTTGCAAACAGGCTCATCCTATCCCAGATTATTCCTCCTAGGACAGACAGGATGAAGCCCAGTGTATCACAGACAGAGCCCAAGAACTCTGCTGTTGTCCAGAGCTGATCAGTCACATCTGGAGTGACCCCAGGCTAGTGGTGGTTAATCCACACATTAGTGCTGTCTGGTGCAGAAGAAAACTCAAGGCTGTAGGTTTAGCTGGCACTCATCTTCAGCCAGTGGCTTCTGGGAGCAGCCAGTT